AAATTTGGGTTTTTTTAAAAAAAATAAACCAGTTTTTTAAAAAAATAAATCAGATTTTTAAAATGAAATGTTTTTGGAGGAAAAATCTTTCTAAAGATAGTTTTCTGTTTAAGTTACATTATAGTCCAAGGGCTATTCATCAGGGAATATGGATTTGTTTAAGTTTTTCATGTGTGCTAAAACTCAGTCTAAGGTTGTTGTTTTTTAAAAAAACCTCAGTCTAAGGTTGTTGTTTTTTAAAAAAACCTCAGTCTAAGGTTGTTGTTTTTTAAAAAAAATCATTTATCTACATCAGTTAACAAACATGGGAGACATATGCTACAATGTTATTGTTTTAGTTAAATAAATTGTTTAAATTGTCATTAAGGAAATGATTATTTTTCTCCTTCCAATAAAGTACAGCAGAAAAGTTGTCCAAATATAAACAATATTTTCATAATTACCTGTCTTTGTATTTCTGATAGTATAACCAAATCAGTAATTTTTGATATAACTGTAAAAACTACTCTGAAAATTTATTATTCCAAAGATGAAACCTTCATCTGGTTGTAAATATTAAGATTATACCAGCAAGAATGAGTCTTTCTGTAAGAAAATGATTTAAATCGAGTCTTACTGACTAGTGATTTAAATCAAGTCTTACTGACTCGCGATTTAAATTGTGATTTAAATCAATTTGATTTAAATCAAATCCACCTTGTCTCCCACCACCACCACTACCTGCTCCAGAAGGTCCCCAACCCATCACAAAAGTGTCCACAGATGGCAATAAGTACAGTAATTTTACAAGGGACAATAAGGGATTGCAGAATGGGGATGGAGATTTAAGTCAATAGCAAAACCTCCACCAATACTATCCTCATTGAGGTAGTATCAAACTATGGTGGTTTTTTGCCTAAATAAAGTGATCCTCTAACAGATGGAATAAACCCATTTGTGGCCCGGGGGGGGGGGGGAATTATCTGACAAGCAATGCATACCAGTCACAACATGTGGAATGGTTAAACCGACTTTGCTACACAGACTGGACGATGGAGGCCAGAAAATCCAGCTCTACAATTTTCTAATTTTACCTAAATTATTTAGCCACATTATTTGTTTTCATGCTAAAATGCATTGTCAATTGCAAATTCTCTCTCAAAAAAATATAGAAGGGCCGAAGGAGTATTTTAAACAAAATATTCAATATAAATAAGTAAAATCTTAATTATTCTAAAAGCTATTCAGTTCTAAAATTCTACAGATTGTCTATTACTACTTAATGTTTCTCACTTAATTTTAAGAATAAGACATATTTTGGGACACCCGGACAGATCCCTACATAGATGCCTGACTCTGACCCAAGGCCACAAACCCTCCTTCTGCAGCTTATATTTATTTCTTCACCTATTGCTACTACTGTTACTAGGTATTTGACTGCCTTTTAGGTATCCCAATATTTGAAAATTTGAAAATCTGATATACCTGTTCGGGGCCCAGTGAAAGTCTAGACTGTTCTATTTCATTTGGAATGGTTTTACTTGTTTCTATTATTGAAACGGATTTATTATTTATTTAGGTAGGAAGGAAGGAAGGAAGGTGAGGTGTAGCAACAATTTTTAGCAGACCCAGAGCCAAAACCCAGCAATTAGGGGTGTATCTAGGGGGAGAACTGATCACCTCTGAGTAGATTCTGGGGTGGAGCCTGGCTTCTGTTCTGGATTTGGTCACCATGGTGGATGACCTGTGCTGGGAAAATGATGGGCGGAGCCAAGCCTACTAATTTTTCTGGACCTCCATCATAATATCCTTTTGGACCACATGTCAATATGTGAAGTTCTCCAGTTTTTGTTGTTGCAGGTCTCACTCTCCACAGGGAACAGCGTAGCCTATTTCTTACTGGTTTAATTGGAATCTGTTTTGATCACATTTTACCATTGTTCTAGTAAATGAACGACTTAAAAGTGTTCTGTCTAGTGCCCTTTGCTCATGTGCTTTGTATTTTCCCAACAGCCATTGGAAGGACCCTCATTCCTCGTTATTTTAGCACTGTCTTTGAAGGAGGTGTGACAGACCTGTATTACATCCTAAAGCACTCAAAAGAATCATACCACAACTCCTCCATCACAGTGGACTGTGATCAATGCACCATGGTCACTCAACATGGAAAACCAATGTTTACAAAGGTAATAGGAAAGATTAATATGAAACATGAAATTGTTGTTGGGTTTTCAGTGTCCCTTTTCAGATTACATTAGAGATTAATAACTGGTGGTTTGGTGGGGGGTTTTTTATCTGTGGATGGCAGAAGTGATTCCAGATATCTTGAATTTTAATTTGCTAAAACTGAAACACCATTGCAGTTGAAGTTCTGTTAAATAATACAAGAAAAAGAACTTATGTGAAAATTCACAATATTGTACACAAACTTGAATCTTCAGTTCATTTCTGATTTATTGCTTATAACCATAGGTCATTGGCATATAAAGAAAAGATGGGGGTAATATAGCTATTAAGATAAGAAATAAAACAAAATTAATTAAGCGCAAATCAGTAAAAACCAAAACCTGGCAGTCGAGCCAATGAATGAAATCACAAAGTCCAACTCAACCAATTATATAATACAGTTATATAATTCATATTTATATCCATCCATCCAGTTATAAATAAATAGTACTTAGTCATTAACTTTAGGTAGAATTCAATCTTTGAACATTTTTTTTTTTACTGCATGACTAGATCCTTGGTCATGAATCACAAACTGGGAGAAATCACAAGTACTTTTTTATATTCCAAAAGAAACACAACACTGTGCAACTCATATATAGCAAGAAAGCCTGTGCTCCAATGGTGTATGAAAAAACAGCTAATAGTCACACATAAAAGGTGTGTTCATACAGACACCAGATTTTCATGATCTACTTCATTTTTTTATTATTATTTTAAAGAGGGAAGAGTCACATTAATTGGGCCACCACACATAGTGTGTGTTCATATTACTGCCTTGCAGACTTTTCACAGACATGTTATTTGCCAGTGTGAGAACCGGATGCTGGACTAAATGGGCCTTTAGCCTGATCCAGCCATGCTGTTCCTATGCTGGAATTCAGTTCCCATCAGCACCAGCCAGCATGACCAGTTGTCAGGGATAGTGGCTTAAAGTTTGAAGGGCCTCTGCTACAGCAGCAAAGTAACACAGGTAGGTTTTCGCCCCCAGGCAGTGTGAGAGGTGAAGCTATGACCACCAACATTATCCAGCGCATGTCCCTTGCACTTTCTTCCAAATTAAGGATGTGCTATGGCTCCAGGTGTTGCAGCCAATACAGTTTTCTCTGAGGTTATGTTCCAAAGCCAAAATGATGTATAATCCAAACACATTGGGTTCAGCGGCAGGTAGGATTGCCCTTCCCCTTTCCATCCCCTTTTTACATGTTTAAATTTTTGGTCATTCGCATAAAACTGAATGTACACAAGTTAAATGCACATAAGTTGCGAGTTACTTGTAGCTGTCTTTTCTCAGGACTCTGGAATTTGGTTTGTGTGCTGGTAATTCACTGTTAGCGGTCTGGCATTGGTAGATCATTGGGCTTACAGTCTTCCCATTGCAACCATCAAGTTTTAGGATTATGTCTACGAACCACTCCCATCTAGCTCTGACCTATGGCATGGTTCTTGAATCATCCATGTTACTTCCATGTTTAGCTTCCAGACTGAATAGCACCAGCCTCAAGATTATGGCCCAGTTGACTTAATGCAATATTTTGTAAGAAATTGGTTCTCTGGAATGTTTAACCCTTGATTAATAGAATAGTTGAATAGATTTTATCCTTCAATGGCCAGGCTCTGAAGTTTCTCAGGGAGCATAGATTTCCCTGTCCCCACAGATCAGAAGATAACACCCTGTTTTATGGGCCTTCTTTTACCAATGTGAGACCAGTTTCAGCAGGGCCTCTGCTTTAGAGCGTTTTTTCCAGGGGGCAGACCTATCAAGCCATGTTCTGCCGGCTGAAAAGATTCCCATTCTTAAACATTCTTCTTTGTTTCTGATATGGTGCCACCCAAAATTTCTTAAATTATTTTCTTGTTTATTTGCACTTATGAAGCTTCTATATGGACAGCAGTTTTTAGCATTCTTGTTTTGCATGTTAATTTCCGTGTTCCCTGTGGGAGTGAAAAAGCACCAAATAAAATAAAATAAGATAAAACAATAATAATGAACTTCTGCTGCATAGGTCAGCATGTTGTCTTCTCTTTAGTAAATACCGTATTTTTCGCTCTATAAGACACACCAGACCACAAGACGCACCTAGTTTTTGGAGGAGGAAAACAAGAAAAAAAATACTCTGAATATCAGAAGCCAGAACAGCAAGAGGGATCACTGTGCAGTGAAAGCAGCAATCCCTCTTGCTGTTCTCGCTTCTGGGATAGCTGCGCAGCCTGCATTCGCTCCATAAGATGCACACACATTTCCCCTTACTTTTTAGGAGGGAAAAAGTGAGTCTTATAGAGCAAAAAATACAGTAACTACCCAACTGATTGAAGCAAAACTAAATTGGACTTTGGGTGGGTGGGGGAAGAATCTTTCCGAAACAAAGTGTTTAGAAAATTTCAGTGGTTCATCTCAGCACCTAATTTTCCCCATAGAGATGGGCATCATATTAGATTTCGTAGCATTCATGGAAGCAATATTGTTTCAGCCTGAAAAATTGCATATTTAGCCTGTAGCAGCCCCAGTAATGAAAGATGGAGGTCACATTTATGGGAAAGTTCTCCTGTTCCAAAAGCATTGAAATGAATAGGGACCACCAAGTCCAGCATTCTTAGCAGTTACGCTGGAGACAGGCAAAGGGTATAGAAAACCAAACCAAATGAAAGTGGGTTGGAGAATTTTCATGTTCCAGCATTTTCAAGGCGAAAACTGCCTACCGTTAGCACAAACAGCAACAAAACTAGTTATGGAATTATAGAATTGTAGAGTTGGAGGTACATCTAGTCCGGCCCCTTGCAGTGCAGGAATCTTTTGCCCAATATCGGTCTCAAACCCACGACCCTAAGATTAAGGGTCTCATGCTCTACTGACTGAGCCATCTTGCCCCTCAGTTCTCAGTTTTGTGTGTGTGTATGTATGATTTGCAACCCCCAAATAATGCTGCTTCGGTGCCTTTTTAATGCCTTTTTTTAAAGCTATGTAATTCCAGCTAATAGATAATGTAAACCTTACTGCCATGCTCCTCTCAATATATGGCGGGCTACAGGATTCCAATCTCTGCCCCTGCATCCAACCACTATAGATAGACTAAAAGGTCAAAAGAGTTCATACACACCTAGAGTTGTACAAGTATAGGAGTCATTCTCACCTTCTGGAGAAATATCCAGAAACTGGTGGCAGACCCTGTGAGTGGTCACTATCTCACTTGCCTCCAGGTCTTCGGTTTAGTGATGGCGTCATGGCACCACATGCCAAGGCCCCTGGCAGGGATGGAATCTACCAAATAAGGAGAAAGTCCAGGGTTGCAAAAATAGGGCTGCCATATGTCCGGAATTTTCCACACCTAGCCAGGATTCGTCTTTCGAAAACGGCGTCCAGGCAGAATTTTCGGAAACCAGTTAAAATGTCCGGGGAAACCCTGGGCGTATGGCAGCCCATATCGGAAGTATTGAATTTTTGGTGAATTTCTGGGGAAATCGCTTCATCCATCCTTCCGTCCACCCAAAAGAAAGCTCAACAACTTTTGTGTCCGGATTTTCACTTCTTGAAATATGGCAACCCTTTGCAAATACATTTTTTCAAAATGAATTCCCTCATTCCCATTCACCTCTAATTGCTTTCCACCATGTATACAACACTTCTTTGGTCTCACTGTCATTTTTGGTCAAAAGGGTTCACAGGCTTTTCTTTTATTTTTAACCCTGCATAGCCTTTTTACTAGAATCAATGGTAAGATGAGTTTCCACAGCATGAAGTATAACGCCTGCCTTCATGTTTAAAACAACTGTCTCTTTCCAGCCCTATCTGACTTTGATGGCATGGTAGAGATGGTTTTTATTTAAGGCTAGTGACGCTTGTGTTTCCTTATAGCACCACGTAAATGCATAAAAGATCAGCATTGTTAAAAGTGTAATAACAGCCCGTGTGCATAGCTGAAATATACTTTTCCCTCCTGCGCATTTGAATCAACAGTCTGTGTCTCAGTCCTGGACATAACACCAGTGATCAATTTATGTTCCTTTACCTTATAAAAAGTAAAGGAGCACGTTACTTTTATGAATTTACACAAACCATCTATCAAATAAGGATTTTGGGCAGATATAAGAAACTCTGAGCAATAAAAACTGAAGGTCAGGGAAGAATTTATTACTTTGTAAAATTTACATTTTGTGCAATAATAATAATAAAAATAATAAAGCTAAAGTGATGCTGTTCTCCTTCCTGGTGGTGGAAGTTGCAGAATCTTTGACAATTAAGCAAGACAAAGAAGGGGTTAAAAAGCTACTGGTTAGTTTGAGAAATGTTCTTTTTTAGTTTTCTTTCTTTTTTCCCCTGGCCTAGTCTGGAGTTGCCACGTGATCTCCTGAATGCCTGCCAGCCGCTTTCTTGTTGATCCTCCAGAGACCATCTGTGCTGGGGGCATTGATTAGAGTGTGTCTGCCGGGATTACATCTTTTCTGTTGCCATGCCAACTAATCAGCTGATTTTGGTTACCACAGAAACAAAATGTCAGAGCTCACAGCACGGTAACATGAATGCAGCACAACAGAGAATGTTTTCTTAATTGGAGACCTTTTCATTTTGGATTTTATAGGAAAGGCAGCTTTGGGGGCAGGGAAGGGAGGCAGCTCCGAGTGAGATTTTGGCTTAATTGATTAGAGAGAAATAGTTTGGTTTAGAATTAGAAAATTAGAAAGTTAAATATCATCACATAGTGTGTTTGTTAGCTGTTACGGTCTGTGAGTGTATGTGATCTCTTTAAAAATGGTCATACTTGAAATCATACACATGGGCATGATCCATTGATTTTTAATGTAGGTTTGCCACAACCCAGAGTTTGTATTTCTTTTAAATCTGTGAGTTTACAGTAACTGTTGGGACAGGAGACAGGACTAGGTCTCATCACCTGGTGGGTACAAAGGAAGAGCCGAAAAACCAATATCCACATTCACTATTGTGACTCACAGCCTTTACCAGAACCTATCTTTAATGAATTTCTGGTCCTTTCAAAAACCAACCTAAACTAGCAGGCACCACCACATTTAACAAATTCTGGCAAGTTAATAATACGTGACTCTATGAGCCTGAAATTTATTTTCTTACTAAAAACAGCAAGAGAAACTCATTGAACAGGCTTGTAGGGTATACACGGTGACAACTACAGAGGGAAAAGCTTATAACGTTTTCAGAAAATTGCATTTTATACTTTCCTAGATAATGTCTCGTTAAACGAAAGTCCCTGAACACATGAGCTCTAGGTTTTAAACATTATGTTAATGGTATTCAAACTACGGAGAGATCAGCCATTGCACTGAAACTTTAGACACTAAAGAAATGTACCATTAAAAAAAAAACCGTGGAGAAATTGTGGATCATTTTCTAACAGTGGCTTTGTGCAAAATGCAAGTGCTGCTTCTTACACAGGACCAAGCCAATTTTTCCTTACTTATCACAGCTCTCTGTGCAAAATCCTATACTATTCCAGAGGCTCCTCAACTGTCAGAGAGGACCAGGGTCAGAGGAGGGGGGGGATGAATTTCCTGCTATGCCCTGTATAATATTTGTAGGTATAAATAAAATTCACATCACGTCCAATGATTGTCACTGTTAAGCAACAAACATCTATCAGAATTACGAGCAAAAGTGATGGGAGTAAATTTTCCATCTAAATATTTGACGTGAAACCATGTAAGGTACATTTGGTCTGCTGAGTTATCTAGTCCAATATCACCCAATGGCCAGACAGTAAGCCCATGAATGATGCTCACGAAGGCTACATCCCTGTCCCACTCGGTTGCCCAGCAGGAAATGTATACTCAAAGGCATGCCTATGCCTCTAAACCTGGAAATCCCGTTCAGCTGTCATGGCATATAGCTGTTAATAGACCTATCCTCCGATACAAAGCCATCAGATCTTGTGGCAGTGAATTCTGTAAGTTAATTATGCACAATATGAAAAAGTACTTTGTCTATTGAATCTACTGCCAATCAATTCCGTAGCGTGTTCCTGATTCCTAGAAGGTTAATCAAAGCTCAGATCTTTTGTCCAGTGTCCACCACTCATTTATAAATACCTTCTGCTCTTGTGTATTTTATTACTATTCACTTACAGTATTCCTAGCTTGCTCTTGATAGAATATTTCCAGTCCCAGGGCAGGAGACAAAGTAATAAAAAAAGAAACTGAGAAACATAGCTATATACAACGATTAGGTAAAGGTAAAGGGACCCCTGACCATTAGGTCCAGTCGTGGCCGACTCTGGGGTTGCAGCACTCATCTTGCTTTACTGGCCGAGGGAGCCGGCGTACAGCTTCCAGATCATGTGGCCAGCATGACTAAGCTGCTTCTGGTGAACCAGAGCAGCGCACAGAAACGCCATTTACTTTCCCGCCGGAGCGATACCTATTTATCTACTTGCACTTGATGTGCTTTCGAACTGCTAGGTTGGCAGGAGCAGGGACCGAGCAACGGGAGCTCACCCCATCGCGGGGATTCGAACTGCCGACCTTCTGCTCGGCAAGTCCTTGGCTCTGTGATTTAACCCACAGCGCCACCCGCATCCCAGCTCATATAAACAGGCCCAATAAATAACAGATTGGCAATTCTGTCACAGGGTAAGTAAGCGAACCTATGATGACAAGAATCAAATTTTCAATTAAAGCAAATACCTAGGTAAAAAAACAAACACAAGATGAACAAACAGATTAAACAACCTATGGTCTTGGCAACAGCTCCCTCTCCTTGTTTCATGTATGGTAGCCTGCCCCTCTGTCCCTCGCACGTAGAAGGCCCCACTCTGAGCCAATGGCCTCTCCCTCTGTGGCTTTTGAGAAACATAAAACTTTCACCCACACTCTGCAGCTTATCCAGGCCTCATCCTGAGAGGTCTGAATGGTTGGCCACAAGCATCCACAGCAAGAAACTCCCACCTCTTGTCCATAACAGGAACAGAACAAAAACAGGCACACATGCACAAGAAAAAATTGCAAACAATTGTGGCACGTTTTTCCACCCTAGAAAAACTTTGGTAGCAAAGTCTCCTTGCTTTAACAACTCTTAAATATACGAGAGCCCTGTGCTCCTTAGCATCTGATCATGCTAGCCATCATATAGAGTTGCTAGTTCCCCCAGACACTCAAGGGGCAGGAAACTAAGGGGTGCTGCTTCCTGGGTCAGGAAGTGGATCCTGGTGGTCAGGAGACAGAATGAACATGGGATTTCAGGCTGGTATTCAATCATATCTTAATTTAGGGTGTCGTATGCATCCCGACTCTTCTGCAGATGGATGGTTTTTATTTGTTAAATAATTAAAATAAAAACAGCCCTAGTATACAACAGTAGAGGAGAATTGCTTTGGGAACAAGCAAAATAAAAGCTCTCGGAAATACTTGAAGCCAAGCGAGCCCCGGTTTTGCTGTCAGGATCTGTCAGTGGAATAACGCTGCCTCCTGTCCAAAGAGAATGCTTTTATTCTTCCAAGGTAGCCATAATAGCAGACCTGTGCTTTTGGGTACAGCAGAGAGAGCTACTTACTGTATGAGCAGCAGCTACAGATTCCTTCCTGTTATAACATGCATAAAAGTCACTTCTGTTTTTATTTTATTTTATATATTATATTTGTATACAGCCCTTCATCCAAGCATCTCAGGGCAGTTTGCAGAATAAAAATACACAGTAGAAGCATAAAAACAAGGACCGAAATGAAACAAAGCAGTTCAAATTTCTTGGAGTTGCAGCTCCTTCAAACTGTTCTTCTTGTGGTTCTCTTGCTTCTCTTGCTCAAGGAAGGCATGTAACTTCAAGGAAGAAGACCCATTGACTGTCAGTGGATGCCCTCCTGAGGCATAGGCCATAGCAGACGTCAGCCCTAGTTCTAGAGGCCTGC